TACTCGGAGAGCTGAGCGGGGCTGATTTAACACCAGGTTTTATGGCCCGCCCTTCGAAGGCTCAAATCCAGAAGGATCCTTGATAGGAACTTCACAGTGGGGTGGAGGGTAGTGCAGATATTTACGTTCCAGGCATACACACGACCTACTTACAGAGGCACCTGTTGGACTGCAAAAAGTGTTTAACATGTTAAAAACGACTTCAGGATGTTGCATAGACTGACCGGGAGTTAGTTGATGTCGTGGTAGTCAACTTGGAAGTGATAGGCGACTCCCCGTTCAGAAGCAGTTGTAGACGAGGAGAAAAACAACCCTGTTCAGAGATTTTAATGAGTCACGGATTTTATCATAAATGAATACTAATGAGCTCCACTTGAAGTACGTCCCTTTTTGATGTTTTTTATGATTGAAACTGTTTGGGTGGTCTGTCTTAAATTGAGCTCTCTTACTGTTCAAAGACAGATCCTTTTTAGGGGTGTGTATGTTTTGTTGTGTTGGTTTTGGTTTGGTTTTTTTCAAAGGGGACGAATTTGTGCTTACGTCTTCTGGGGAGTACAAAACACTAGAGTTTGCAGTTTTGCCCGGATAGTTTTGCCTGCACAGTGAGTGCTGCTGAAAGTTGAGACTCCCCACATAATCCTGTTTGGGTTGTTTTTTTTCTAATCTATTAATAGAACAAAATACTAAAATGCTTAAATACACGTCATGAGTAACTGGGCTGCTTTTGAACTGAAAACAAAAGCTGCCTACTGAGATGATGGGGTTTTTTTTCCTCTTCAGGGCTAGTCCCAGGTGTGTTAAAGATGGACTTCTTTCCTTTTTCTTTCATACTCCTAACCAGGACATGCCCAGTGGGACCAACCAATATATCGTCTGCGGTTGCTGCTGCAGACTGGTCCGTGAGAAAATGCAGACTATGCTGTTGAGATATTCTCACTATTCTTAGAAATTACTGTGCTCTGTAGGTTTTGTGGGAAGTGGGAGAGGTGGTGGAAGCATTCCCAAGGGAATGCTTCCCACCCAGAGAAGCTTGGTCGGAGTCAGGTCCTGGCAGCACAGTGGAGGCAGTGCCGCAGTAGTGCCTGTCTGCCACAGCATTTTATTTTTGTCCAGTGATTATCAGGAAGGCTGTCCAAGAGGAGCAGGACAAAGCAAACAGCACAAAGCTGTAGGAGACCAGGTCTTGTCACTTGTCTTGTGGGCAGGTCAAGCTTGCTCGTGTAGCTGCCGCCTCTTCTGCAGGTTGTCTCCAAGTGGCTTTAAAGCAGGTTGAAGTACGGTATTTTTGGGCATTCTTGCTTAATTTTGGGTGTTTCACCGAATGCTGTCTGCTGCCAGGGACTTTGCTTTGTTTTTGAAATGCCTTATAGTCATGGAATAAACAAAGTTGCCTTATCTGAAACATTATTAATCTGTGAATAAACTGTAAACAGAAGCATTAATGCAAGATGTTATTTGTAGCCCCCTGAATTTCAAAGCAAAAAAAAGAAGTGATAAATGTAGGAATCTTCTCCTGGTCTCCGTGAATCTCATTTACAAAGTTTCAGGTGTTTGAGATGAGGAAAGATGACTCAATTTACAAGGAGAGAAGGCTGGTACAGAGGAGCCTTACAAACTCTCGTGCAAGTGGAGTGTTCCTGTCATTGGAAACGAAAAGATCGCAAAGAAAAAATCCACTAAAAGACAAAGCAATCCTCCCCCCAAGCAAAAATCCCCCAGAACATTGTCTGCAGTGTTGTGTAACCAAAGCGACAGTGTTATGCAAGGGGGGGAAGAGTCAAAAAGTGAAAGGACTATAAACAAAAGCTGTGAAGGGAATGCCACCCTGCGTGCTGGCAGGTTCGTTGCTGAATTTTGTTGTGTTTCTTTTAATAGGGCGCTGCTAATCGCCGACGTGAAGACACTCGTTTGAGGATTTAGACAAATTCCATCGAGGTAAGCCTGGTAGAGAAGGGTCTGAGGCAGAAAAGGTGAGTGAGGACTAAGAAATCAGCAGAGGTAGCAGGGGGAGAGGAGAGGTAGAGCAGGAGTTCACTGGGGGTTTAGGACCATGTAGCTGTGGTGAGAGGAGGGAACAGGGTGCGGGTCGGGGAGTGTTTGGACTATGGTAAACTGCAATTCCCAGCTATATCCTCCTGGGTAATTAAGGCATTAGGGGAGGATAAGCCTAAAGTCACTTCAAACATCAGTTGCTGTGCTGTGCATGTCTGGTACTTGTTTCTTCCCTTCCCCAGTACTTAACTCCAGCTTTTCTTTTTACAACACTTATTAGTCTTTCAAGTGGAGTGTGTATTCAGCAGATGAAAAGCAAACTGTTTGCCAGTTTAGTAGCATTTGAGCTGTTCTGGGTTTGAAAACCCAAGTAGTACACAATGGAAAAAAATCCTTGGAATGGTTTACCTATGACAAAAAAAGCTTTTCCCAGAATGAAAATACAGACTCCTCCAGAATACCTTTTTGCAGTACTTGTCTCCCTGTCTCTGTGCTCGTATTTATTTATTTATTTTCTCCTCCAGAAGATAATAGATTTGGCTTTGGGAACTCACTTCCAAAAAGAGTGCAGTGAAATTTTTTTTGATGCTTTCTGCCAAAACGAAATAAAATGCATCAAAATGAAAATTGTACAATTCTTGCTGAGCCAAGTACTTGTACTAAAATTTAGTTTTAATTATTTTTTTGCAGCTGATACTTTGTTTTGCTCATATATGAATGACTTTGTGTGTGTATGAACTTTCTGGAGAAATACCAAGGACTAAAGACTGGGCTAGTACCAGGTTTTATATAGTCCTTTTGGTGTCACTGAAATGAGAGGAGTACACCTGAAGTGTCTACACAGAGTGGAAAAGAAGTCTCCCAAACTAAAAAAAATACCAGTAATCTGCTAATGTTATTTTTTGAAATTTCAGACATTTGAAACTACCAGAAGAGTATGCGGCGCTTGAGGGACTAGGATTGAGTTAAAACACAGCACTATGAAAGTTTTGTGCTGCCAATTTTTTGAATAGCCTTCATCTCCATGTAGGTGTGTGATCCACATCTCCAAACTTCTCGTTTGCTTGAGCAGCAGCTCTGCTGTGTGTGGATGCTTGGCTTTCAGGAGTTGCAACCTGTGCCTGTTAAACTGCTGGAGCGAAGGGAGGTGTATGGTGGAGTTGGAACAGTTATAAACTCATTACTCAGTGTATGTAGGCACCAGTGTTCTTCTGAGAGAGCTTCTTGGAGTTCCCAGGAACAGACCTAACATGGGCTCTCCTGAGTTCACAGTAACCACACAGAGGAAGTGTGAACTTCAGTTCTTTCCCCCTTATGTTTTAGCCTCGCTAAATCACTTGGGCTTACTATAGTTATTTGCCATATGCTTAAAGGAGGGGAGGCATAGGTGGCTGAGACCATACTGCATTGGATTTAAAGATTCTCAGGCCTGCTAGCTTTTACAGAGACACAAAACCGTGTCAGCCAGATGCAGAGAGCATCACCAAGTCACCAGAACCTTTATGATGTGGAGCTCCAGCTCTCATCCACGTATTTCCCTGTCAATCCTAGATGTGGCAGTTGTGAACAGCTGTCCACTGGAAGGACTTTGTGCTGAGCTCTCCACAGGCTGTAGTTATTGACTCATTAATAAAGATTGAAATCCTGGGGAGTTTAATGGTATCCTTTGGGATTAGCAAGAGGACTAGCAAACCTGGACCCAGAGATACTGGGTGGGTGATGTATGGAGATGGAAACCCCTTGGCCAAAGTATACATGGAGCAATGGAAAGTGAATAAAGCAGACAGAGAGTGGTGAGGCAGAACTGGAGCATGTTTTCCTTCATCTTTTCAGGGTTAAGGAGCAAGTATCCACACTGGTACTTCTCAGCTCCTTAGGATTCCACATCCCCATTTAATGTTTACACCTTCAGTGTAAAACATGTAGTTACAAACAAGCTAAGGCTTCAGACAGGAGTTTGCTTTTCTTAAGATCCATATGTGGCAGTCTCAGAGTCATTGACCCCTTATGGGATCTGTGCATTGGAAATTGCTGAGCTAGGCAGTTGCTGTGGAGATCAAAGAAACTGAAAACATTAAAAGGAGGGCAGTGGGAGTGCTGGGAACGCTGTGGCGTTACTATGCTACACTCACTTCTGTTATTACTGTCCTGTTGTTTCTTATGAAGAACTGACAGTAGCTCATCTTTCAGGCTTCTGCAGGCCATGTTCAATTAAGTCGTTCATTGGGTTCATTTAACCATTTCCTAAAGACAGCTGTGAGTACAGTGTAAGGCAGTGATTCTGTAGGTTGTGCAGTAGGGAGTATATGACTTGGCAGCATAGCGGCTGACCAGAAGTGGTGAAGGTTGACACTGGTCCTTTGATCCCAAAGTCTGGGAACTCTTTCTTTGAGCTGTGGCAAATGACAGGCAAAAGGGTATCTAAAGGAAAATTGTCTTTTCTCAAATCATTATAAAAAATACTCTGTATGTTTTATGCAGATAGTGCCTGATGAATAAGGAAGAACTGGATACAAGGGTACAGTAAAGATTTTTTAGGAAACATTTAGAACTTAGTGTTCTCTGTTTTGAAGGCATTATCCTTTATGTTTACTTTCTAATGTGTGAGAATACATAATAATCAATCGAATGCTTAGATTACATGGGTTTACATTTAATGCCAGTCACGTTGCCCATGGTCATGTTTTTCAGTTTGGGAAGGTTAGATGACAATCTTGAACTTTTTGAGTCTTATTTCACAGACTGATAGGATCAGAAATGAAATGAGGTATGAACACTCACTCCCCTGAGAGGTAAAGGCTTTCGTTGCACATGGAACAACCTCTGCGGAAGTAAAGCAAAACTAGAGAGAGTGTTCTTGTTTGACTTGGGGAGAGAATGCAGTCTGCGTCCTTTTATATGGAGTCTTTGAATAATGTTGAAAGAATGAAACGTCTAACAAAGCTGTTGTATTTGTACTGTGTCATGAAAATGAGAAAATTTACATAGCCCATGTTGTTTTCAGGTTTGCTGTAAACTACCTACCGTAGCTATAATGACACCAGCCCTCACAGAGGCAGCAACAAAAGGTCATGGTATCCACTTGTCACCTTCTTTGTCCTCTAGAGCTTTGGATACAGCTTTGTACATGGAAAATTCCAGAGCAGTGGAAGAGAAGATAAAAGAGGACTCAATCGCACAGATTACTTGCTCAGTCCTGGGGTTCCCCACTGCTGATCCCAACCTCAGGAATGACATCTTCAATGTGCAGCATTTTGGTTCCCCACCATCCTCTAAGCACTATCAGTCTGTCTTACTAATGAGTACAAATTCTACTTTTAGCAGCAAACCCGGTAAGCTGGCAAAGGTGGGAGTGCCCGGCGGCTCCAGGATGGGAAAGTCGTTACATAATGGTGCTAACACACCATTGGGTCGGGTTAGTTATTCACAACCTGAGCAACAGGTCAAAGGGGCAACTTTTTCAGAGACCACATCTCTGAATTTGGCAGAAACACAGCAACTTTGGGATTCAAACGTAACCGAATCTAGTAATGCAGAAGAAATACAACTTCTAAATGGTAAATGGTACAAGAAGAATGGGGTCTTGGGTAGGCCTTTGGAAGTCTGTGCTGAAACAATAAAAGGGGATCTATTACATCAAATTCTTCGTGGGCCTTCAGATGGGATTTTGAGCTGCACCCCGGAGGAGGTGTATGCTCGCTTACTCCAGTGTGTCACTAAGCAACAAATGGAAATCAGTCGCGCCAAAAGAACTCAAAAGCATTTACAAATGCTCCTGGCCAAGCATGTTATCAAACACTGTGATCAGCAGCTGAAATGCTTCGTGAAACACCAGCTTCAGAGGATGAAGGTTTTCCATGAGCCAACCAGGTTTTTGAACAGTAGCTCCCTCAGGTGCACTGAAGGTTGGCCGGAAAACAACACAACTACTTTGGAGAGTAGTCCAAGTACGGACGTACAGAATGGAGTTTGCGTTGTACCATCTGAAGTCCAGGTATGTGCTACCAGAGGGGTGCTGTCGCGTGTGCAGAGGGACCTGGACTCTGATGCAACATGCAGCAGCTCAGATGAAGATGGTGAGGACTGGGCTGTAAGAACAACTGTGGAAGCGTAAGTGTTCCTGCTTAGCCTCGTGCTCTTCTTGCTTATAAATCCGAATGATCTAGACCTGCAGATTCCTTCTTGTGTGAGTAACCTCACTCAACAGATAGAGTCGTATTCGAATCAGCAGGACTGACAGCGTGAGCTGGATTTGGCAGGGACAGAAAGTAAGAACTTCCAGTTAACGCATTTCAGGAGCAGTTGCTTTACTAGACTGTGGATATTAGAATTTGTACTGCACTCTACCAGTTTGCATTACATTAGTACTGCTAATAATTCAATAGTTGGATGGTGCTGTAAGTCAAATAGTGATAGCAGTGCTGTAAATTGTATTTTTCGCCAGTATGAAAATAATACTAATTTTATTCTAGAGTTCGTAAGAATCGGTCAATGTTAGGATCTTGAAATCCACTATGATGTGATATAGAGTAAAGTGATCATCTGATGCAGGTGTCAAGGCTTCCAGTATTTAGGGGTTGTATATTGTAAAAGTTTGGTTCTTTGAATTACAGTTTTTAAAATGTTTGCTTACTGAGGTCACTGTGCAACTATGATTGTAGCTAACTGTGGTGCTTTTGTTGTTGCTGGTATATCTTTCAAGAAGAACCAGAGGGAAATTAAGATCATTAACTAGTACTGTCTTGAATTGGCAGGAATCCTGTCACTACAAATTACTGTAGCTTTGGAAATCAGCAGTGGGTAAGAGAAGGTGGTGGTAGGTACATTGTTCCCTGATGATGGTACAACCTTTTTGCTGTTTGTTTCTCTTTTTTTTTTTTTTCCACCGTTACCTTGCTGCATTATTAACACAATCCCTTTAGGCAAGAAACTTTAGAAAGCAGTAAAAGGATGTCTGCGTTTCCCCTTTCTCCAGCTGGAGAGACACAGCATGTCCTAAGGTTTGTTGGGATGTGGTAGTCAGGACAGTGACGCATGGAATAGAACTTCACACAAACACAGCAGCTTGGTGGGAGCTTCAAGGCACCCACATTGATAAGTCAGGGCTGGGTTTGTGTTTACTGATCTCTTGTACCCTCTGTTGTTGGGAAGTACCTACTAAAACCAAAAAATACTTAAACCCACTTATTTCTTGGTCTGCTTCTTGAAAAGCATAATGCTCAGAAGAAATCAAGGGATCTTCTGAAACTGGAAGAGCTGTGCCCTGTTGCGTGTTTATAGCTTCAGTCTAGCATGGCTGTATCAAATCACTGCTGCATTTTGTTGAACTCTAGGCCTGAAAAACATAGGAGAAAATGTTTTCATTCCTTTTTACATCTGGTCAGAATGGTAAATACTGTGCTGGAGTCCAACCAAAGCATAGTGACTTGCCATCTAGATTAGGATCACCTTAAATTTTGGAGTTTGCTGAAGAATTTTCTTGGTTTGAAATATTTTAATGAAAAAAACATCATTTGGGCTCTTTTCAGCGTAGGAGAATCCACATTATTTTCCTAACTGATGTGTCTGAATTTCTGAGTAATAGCTCTGCCTCTAGGATTCTTATCTTGTGATTGCATGGACTGAAGAAGAAAAGCTGATGAGAAGCTCTTGATTCTGGAAGGGTAGTGGATAATGTAAAACTTGGACCAAAGTTTTGCACAAGTTATTTTCTTTTTCCTTCCTGCCAGGGGCGGTTGAGTTTCTAACTCTGCCTGCCAGTCCTTTACCTCTGTTTATTCTTGTTGCTTTTGAGTTCCTTAAGATATCTTTTTACTTAGGGCTTACTCAGTTTGCTTTGTTGCAGTGATGAAAAAATCCACAGAGGATTATTAAGTACAAAACCACCCCCTTTGGCTCAGGAAATCCCCAAGCTGCTGCTGCTGGCAGCTGACAGAGTGTTCTGGAGGAGGAGCACTGCTCCCTCCATGCCTGCCCTGCTGTAACGCTGTTATCTTGGCCACTGCTAAGAGGCGGGAGAGTGGGTAGATCATCTGTAGTCTGGCTGTGTGGCCCCTTATTTGTGGATTGTTAATTTTCCACCCTTTTTTATGTTCTTACTGCTGAGCAGCAGCAGTGATGAGGTTAGTGATGTGCATTAGACGAGGCCTTGCATTGGCAGGGCAAGAATCACCGGTGTTTGAGCGGTGCTGCTGGGCCAGCAAGCTCAGTTAAAGTGCTGCCTGCTCTAAGCAGAAGACTTGTCTGTGTGCATAGGCTGAGGCAATGCTTGAATTAACCTTGCAGTGAGGCCAGGCTGTCTTGTATTTGAATTTATCATTATCTGCGGCTTGGAGTGTTTTTCTTCATTTCTCCACCTCATCCTGAGCTAGAGGGCTGCCCTCCTTCTAGGTGACAGAGGTAAATTGTTTTTTCACCAGTGCAGCTGGTGAGATTTGCTGTTTCCTGAGTTTGGTACTTTAAGGCCCTTTGGATTGCTTTTCACCTGGACAAAGCTGACATCCATTTTTTGTTTCTGCTAGGTGGATTTACATTCTTCAAAATGCCTTTCCTTGGCAATTGCCTCGTAAGTACTTTCCAGAAACAGCATAATCATGTGGGTCAGAGAATATTCCTTTCCTTACCTGTGACTTTCATAGTGAAGACTCTTACTCTGAATTCCTCTCTGATAGTATCTACAGTTAAGTATTATAAAGTCTCTAAGGCTCTAGTGCTGCAGTGGGGAATGGGAAGAACATTTTGGGTTTGCTCATTTCACAGTACCCTGATTGCATTTAACTCGAGGGCTGGTGACTGGTCTTTGTCATGACTGCGGTGCTTTGTATCCTGTGTGGGGGGAGAAGGTGTCAATCCAATGTGCAAGGCAGGGAGGGACCTGCAGTTACCATGTTTACCTGAGAACAGTCTGTTTCCCATCAGGAGGGAGAAGTTGATTCCGGCTCCAATTCTTCACGCTCGGAAAAAAATCCTGCAGCTATTTTTAGTGTTTTGAACCTGTTCATTCTCATTATCCTGGAAAGAGTTTTGCCCAATGAGTGTTGACATAAGCACTTCTGAGCTGTATCTCAATGCTTGGTGGCTCAAGTAAGATTGTCTTTATCCATCTATTTCAATACCTTTGGTGTTTGGTTGCAAATAGCTGTTCTAAGATATTTAGACCGTTGTTTCTCCTTTACATGGGTTCTGTACTCAAGAAGGATTCTTGCTCTGCTGGTGAAGGCCATTCTTCTAGTTGGTAATTCACAGAACTTAATGAATTTCCCTAGTTCCCAGAGTGACTGGAAAGCCTCATCCCATTTCAAGAGCTTAAGCAAAACACATTTTGTTGATCTTTGTGGTATGAAGATGAAAGATTATCTTTAGAAATGGTCACAGATTTCAAACCAGGTGAACTGGGGGAGGATGTGAGCCCCAAGGTTTTTCACAACACAGCTCTGCTCTGGGAGTTGTGTATCGTATCCTGCCAGGCCAGCTCCACGTCCCTATGGATGTGTTTTGTGTATGTTCCTGATATGAGTAGAAGTTCTGGTTGTTTACAATGTGCCACAAAGAACTCCAGTGCTTAGGTGATTATTTGGGAAACCTTAAAAGTTGTAGGATGCAGGGTTCCTGTTGTACATACACTGTGTGTGTGATCCTCCAGAATCAAAAAGTACGTCACTGGGGTTCTTCGAAGGCAGAGCTGCTCACTCCATCCTAATCATCACGTGCACCTAATTGCTGGGACACAAAAGCTGCTTGCTTTGTGTAAAATAAGGAGCTCTGTCTACTCAGGACAGCCTTGTTTTCCTTCCCCCATCCGAATACAATCCTTCTGCATCATTTGGTGGGATTTTTTCCCTCTGAAATGTTTTCATGCTTTTCCTCTGATTTCTTAAAGACATGTTTTACTGATTATCCTCCAGCAGCCTCAAGTCTGACGAAGATGCGCTGTTATATTTTTCCATACCCACAGGGTTTATTGTGCCTGGAAACTTTTATAATGAATGTGAAGAGTTAGTAAGTCTTTCTCATTTTTCCTCTTCTTTTTTTTTTTTTTCCCTTTAGATTGATAGTTGGAAAGAGAGAAGATGGGAAATCTGCTTTTAGTACAAACACTCGGTGGGGAGGGGAGCAGTATGGCAGAGAGAACACAGGAAGGAAGAAAATTCTATGACTAGTATCTCCAGATCTAATCTGTCTGTTCTAGATTATTTTCCATTTTTCCTGGCGTTTTTCTCACGGCTAATTGAGCAACATCAGTGCAGTTCTGCAGGCTTTGCTATGGACAGCACTGCTTAAGGGCTGGGGTTTATTGCATGTCCCCCAGTATTGTGAAGGGAAGCTGTTTGGTTTTGCAATGTCAGGTCCTGATTTTCCACTCTGAGCTGTAATTTCACATCATACCTGATACGAGTACTGAATTTTGAGTTTGGGAGGAAGAGTGTCTGCCAGAATTAAATACTGCTCTTAAGCACAAACCCCAATTGTTTCCAGTTTTTAAGACCTCTTTAGTTTACAAGTCCAGGAAATGTCTTATTTGCATAGAAGATTGTGAGGGCTCTTGAATACATATAAATTCATAGGTGCCAATAGTAGGCTGATTTCAAAGTGGTTTATATGTGGCTTTTTCAAGAATTCCATTCTCTCAGTACTTGGCTCCTATCACTAGGATGTGGGAGGAGAATTGTTACCAGGGAATGAAAGAAAAGATAGCTTTATCTTACTTTGTTTTCATTCCGGGGCCACGTGTATTATTTTGGAATATATTTGACCTCACTTGGTTGGATTTCCTTAAGATGGATTTACAACTTCTTTAGTGTCCCACATGCATTTACTGTTTCGCTTCAGAGATCTCATGTACAGCAATACAAACTTACTTTTGTGCAAGACTTCCTTCTCACAGTACCAGAGTAATGCTCTTCTGAGTGAGGATTGTAACCTGTAATTATATTAATAGTTTTGCAGCTGCTGAAGGCAGACGGGAAGGTTTTAATGAAAGGCAGAAGGTTTGGCAGGTTGTAACCTGCAAGGGAATCTTGGAGCTGGGAATGTCGAAGCTTGTGAGTTAGATAGGTGTTGAATGCATATGAAATAAAAACTTGGCATTATTCTTCTTAATAACCATTTAA